GCTTAACATGCTATGTCATAGCTTGCTTTATGAAATACGTTTATCAATAAAGAAGTGGAATCTTTTGTCTTGTGCAAGTGACGAAGTTTCTCTTATCACATATCTTAAAAAAAAATATATGCTGCTAGCTGCAGCTGAAGAGTAACCAACAGTAACAGGTTTTTTTTCTTGCTGTCATTTTATGTGCTATTTTAGTTTCTTCTGCATGCACAGTATATATGCACAGAACATATGTGTGCAGTCATAGCAAATGGGTGAAATAGATTTTACACACTTGGTAGTAAATTGGAGACTATGTGCAAATAATTCAGTTTTAGAAGTGAGTTGGAATTTCATTGCTGAGAAGATACTGGAAAAAAATTCCAGTGCTGAAAAAGCTGAAAGAAAAAATCTGTCCTGAGTCTGTCTCTGAGGTCAGTATTCTCCTGTGGCTTTTAACGTTGCCTTTCTCACAGTACTGTTTGGGGTTTGGTTTTTTTTATGATTTGATTGCATGCCTGAAATACTTGTGCTGTGTTAGAAATGGTGAGAGAGAAAAGGTGGTAGGGAAGAGCTAATATCTGGTCATGAAATTATAGTCAGAAAATGTACACTTCTAGCCATAAAAGTGCTTTCTTTGTGGTGAAATAGAAGTAGTATTTCACAGAGTTGAATACTGTTGCTGTGCAGGTAATGTTTTGTGATGGAATGTATGCACAGTGGATGTGGCTTCTGGTGTAATTTAGTAAGGTTGAACTCTTCATTTGATGTTCTTTGTGCAAGTTTATTGTGACTTAACTGGGGCATAGATGGAACAAAGTCTGAATTAGTATTTTAGTTGCCACTACTGCAATACTGCAATCTCTTTTCAGAAGAGGTTTCTAGTTAGGAATGGAGCAGGAGCCCCATAATAGCCCTTCATTTTCTTGAGGTTCTAACTTGAACTTTACGATAGGAAGCTGCTTATTTGAGTTGGGTCCAAAAAACTATAATTCTTCATGGCAGAAAGATGGCTTACTCTTCTTAATTCCAGGAAGCTGGATATATAACAACCATTTACTGGATTGGATTAAAACTATACCTGGAACTCAATTGGAAGAGCTTCATGGGCTATCCAGTATCACAAGTGATCTTAGTTGAGGAGGGGGTGGTGGTGTTATATTACACTACAAAACAACTTATACTTTTTCATATGAGTGTTAAATTCTGTGTAAGATTATCTGTACTTACTAGGCAAGACTTGGAAAGCAGACCATGTAATCATACTTGATAATGTGCAAGTCATGCTAAATGTTTCCTGATATTCAGTTTACTTTCATCTATGTTTTTTTAAGTAACTTAATTTTGAAATAACCTATGCTAGATAGGGTTTTTAATGTAAGAACTATAACTTTATTATATGCTTTTTAATGCATATGTTCTGTCATACTAAGTATACTCTTTCTTCCTTTTAGATTGGTACAAGGGTTATCTAGTAAGACATAAAGGATCAGAGGTAAGATCATGCTACTCATTTCTACAAGACTATTTTTAAGGCATTAACCCATGAAGTGGGGTTTTTAGTATCTTTTATCAGATAGCTGGATTCAGAGATCAGAATAGCACTCTCTCCATTCTCTTTCCTTTCAAGATGAATAAAAGGATCAGCATTTGTCCTGGACAACATTGGTAAATACTAGGAGAGGACTGAGAGAAGCAGATCAATGAGGAAAAAATTACTGTGCCTTCAGGTTAACAGACTGATGACGACATAATTTGAAATAACTTTGTCAGTTAATTTGCTGGTAGACATGGCTGTTTCTATACTTTTTTCTAAGGTTTCTTTAGGCTACATTCAATAGAAACAACTCCCATGAGGCTTAAATTCTTAAGTATACCTCTAATGTAGAAAATTAATTAAAAAATGTCAGTATTCTTATACCTAAAGATGGAAAGCCACAAATGAATAGTTTTTACTCTGGATATGTCGTCTCCTGAGTTAAGTAGCAAGAAAATTACTTTTTAGTTTCAAATGCACTTTTCTAGAACAAAAGCATTTTTTGAAACTTGCTCTTAGTATCATTTTTAGGAAGCAGCAATGCAAATGCATCAGTTAGAGCCTCATGCCTATATTACAGTAGAAACGTTTGGTTTTTACTGTAATATAGTGTAATAAAGTTGCTTCTCTGTAGCCTGGAAAAAGGATGTACAAAACCTTCACAGCCTTTTTAAAAGTGCTCTCTGGGGAGCAGAGGGACAGTTGTTGGCAGAGAACATGCTATCAGAAAAAATCAGAACAGTCTTAACTTGTCTGTTTCTCCTTTTTCTTATTTTATATTCAGTGGCTTGCAGGTATTAGCAATAACTTGCATTAGCTTAGAGTAAATAATTTGTGTCTACTTCCAAACTGTGTGTGACAGTAAAATATTTAAGTTTCCTTTTGCAATTATTAGATGCTTAATTTACTGTTTCATTTCATTGTTCAATGACTGCGCATCCTAAAAGACAGAGGCATGAATAACTTTTTGATAAATATGCATAATCATTTTCTCCAGACTTCCACCTGTTGTTTCTCACATTCTATGAGCTCCAATACAACTGCATAGTACACCATATTTGCTTGCTTGCATTTCTAGTTTATCACAGGTGAGGTGGAAGCCAGGCTAGTGACAAGGCAGTTCAGCATAAGTTCTTGATACAGCGTAGTATTTCAGTGGAGGCTACCCAAAGTAGTTACTATGAGCTGGTTGATCTGTAGTACTTGAGGGTGGATATGAGAGAATGGCTAACCATCTTCCCATCCTGCCCAATACTACAGTTCTGTTTTAAATACTCATTCGACACTTTTTTTTTGGCTCAAAAGACCGTTTGTGTTTATTCTAATGAAAACTTTACTTTTAATTGATTAAAACTTAGTCTAAAACTAAAAAGGGAAAATATTTACCAGAAATAACCACTTAGTTTTAAATAATTCTTATTATTGCTACGCTTCAAGGTCAACATGCATAGCATGTTTTAAGAAGTATTATTAATTTCATATACTAAGTTTTCACTGAATTTACTATTAATGGGACCTTCTTTTACTTTGCGTCTTCACATGCTCTTTTGAACTTAAATCTTAATGAAAAACTGGAAGTGATGAGACATGATTGTGTTTTAGGATCCAGTGCTAAAAGAAAATGCCTATAAAAGCTGAATCTAATTCAGAGAAAGGCTTTGTGAAGTACCACATATGGATGTCAGTTATTGAACAGAGAAGAATCCAAGAAGAACCTAGCTTAATTACCAAGACTAGATTTGCAAGTTAATGTAAGAATTGTCATGGATAGATTGATGGTCAAACATTCCTTTAGGATGAATTAAAACATTTCAGCTGCTGTAGAAAAAGGACACCTCATATTGGATCATTTTGTCTGGTGACCATTTTCTTTTCTACACAGGTAATTTAAAATAAATGTTGAGAATGTCATGAAATTTAGTGCCTCCTTTGCTACATCTTGCTGGGCGATTTACTGCATGGCCCTAGGTAGTACAAAATGAGACCATAATCTCAATTGCAGTGGTGCCACATATACTTAGGAGGGCTGAGAATTTATGGCTTTACTGAGTGTCTCCCTTTTTTGTGCATTGAAAATGAAAGCCCATTCTTTTTTCTTAAAGCACTTTTAGTCTTATGCACAGTGTTGTTGACTCTTAGGCTTCAAAATAAACTTTGAGTTTACTATCCTTCATGTCAGTGGCCATTTTGTTATTCATCCTGGGTGATTTCCTTTATCGATATTTCTTTCACTAGAGGCAATCATCTTTTATCAGCATCTCTCCTTTTGATAATCAAGCTGATCTCTAAATTAGCTTTTTTTTTTCTTAGAATATGAAATGTATGGGCTGATGCACAGAGAAAATGTTTCTTTACTGTATTTAAACTGTATGTACTGTTTTCTGGGGGAGTAGGGGAGGGGGATGGACGATGGTGTTTCTTATGACAAAATGTAATCCTACGCGTTCTGTTTGCAGAAAAGAATATGACAAAACAACTGTTTGTCAAACAAATGCATCTATCTGGACAGAAAACTAGATAGCAGTTAATTTAGAGTTTATAGTTTATGTTCATAGTCATGGTTGCTACCTAAATGTTCTTGCAGAGTAAGTGTGGATTTTTTTTTTCTTCCTTCAACAGGGAATATTTCCGAAATCTTTCATCCACATCAGGGAAGTTACTGTTGAAAAGAAAAGGTATTGAATTTATCTGGTTTATTACATTATGGATCTCATCTGCTAAAAAATGAGTTTTAAGGCATTTCTATGCCTTAAACACGGTAACTATAATATAAACCCCTGAAACTCAATAGTCTTTTTCATTTTCATTGTGTTAAAATTTCTTCTCTTTCCTAGACATACAGAAAATATAATACCTGCTGAAATTCCTTTAGTTCAAGAAGTTACTACTACTCTCTGGGAATGGGGAAGCATCTGGAAACAGCTTTATGTGGTATGACATATTTGCATGCCATGTGTGGCCTGTTAATTAGTCCTATTTATGCATATTGAAGCCTCATTCAAATTGGTATCTTTTCTTAGATGCAGGGTGGGATCTAAGATTTAAGAAATTATTTCTTCATCACTGCTTAGATGATTACCATTGCTTTCAATGGCTTTAAATTAAAAGGCTGACTTACTGCTGGGGAGTGCTGTAACTTCATGCCTTAAGTTTCAACCTTAAGTATCCTGTACATGATAAATTTTTCATAATTGGTCTTTGTAATGTTGACGAGTTTCAAGATAGGAGTATCAAACTTAACTAAGATGGCTTTGAAAAAGATTCACCATGTTCTTGGGATGCTAGAACAAGAGTTGTTCAAGGGGACTTGTAGCTATTAACAATGGGCAATTTCAAGAAGTTAGTCTTTTTACTTTCAATATCTTCATTTTACATTTCTGAAAGAAAAACATATTATTTTCCCATCTTGGAGAAAACTTTTTTTTTCCTGTGAGCACTTTTACCAATACATAAAAGTGCAATGAATTTGGAGTTATTAGTCAAAATGGCCACTGCATCAGCATCTGTGTTCCCTGTAAGTAAGCAACCTATAGCTATGGTCATCTTTTGCATATGCTTGTAAAGCTCACAGTGTACTATAGAACTGTAGAAGTGATTCATGATTTTTTAAAAATTATCTTTTTATTTTAATTGGATCTGAAATATTTTTGCAGACCTCAACTATCATTTATACAGGCACCAAAGCTTTCTTATAATATTATACCTGTACTTGGACTGCACAATTCTGAGAGATAAAATTTGAATTTGAAGGATAGAAGGCTAATTGTTACATTTCCATGATAATAGATATTTTGCATGTTGTAACCCTATATTAATCCCTTCTGATTCTAGTGACTTGTTAATCTAAGTCTGATGGTCAAAAAATCATAAAGTGTTGACTGGAAAAATATCAAAAGATGCTGACATCTCTAGTACCGAAGTGGACTCTTCTAATGGTTAACCTGTTTCAGCAACTTGCACTGACTGCTCCAGGCTCCCAGCCATCGGATTTTGCTTTTCTGCTGTTGGGGCAAAGAAATCTTGAATATGGTGTAGTTTTTCCTTGTTAGTATATTTTCTGAAACATGTCTCTTCTTAGTCTTCCTCTTGTTAAAATCAACAACTGAAACTTTTCTTGTTTCAGTGAATGACACGGGAACAGCTTTAGTGACTTCTATGCATTCTCTCATTTTTGTCTTAAATATATTAATACCACAATCAAATGTTGTTCCTAGCACGATCTCACCAGTATCTCACACAGAATTGCTTCTATAATGTTTTCTCTTGATGACACTTAGTTCATGATTTTAAAACAGCACAATTAAATAAACCAGAAATAACGTATTTCTCTATCCCTATACAAACTGCTCGAATTTTGTGTCATTTCTTTATGGTCACATGGAGGATTGTCCTTAACAATTCTTGGGATCAGAGGAGGAAGGAAGCCACACTCAGTACTTTGCCTAATTCTTGCTCCTGCAATCATTTAGCATTAAATATGACACATCCTTTAATTGTCAAGACCAACATGTCACTTCAACCTGAAGCCTGAAACCCATTGTTTTCTTTTGTATCTCA